ATATCATTTGGAGCAGGGCCTAGGTCCTCCCCCATGTGTTTAGGCTGAGAGAGTATCCATCTATGTGTAATGGGATATCAAAGTCTATTAATATACTAGGGATAAATACTGATCCACTGCCAGAGGCCCCATAGATTTCCCAGGCCTCTTAAATGACACTCATGTTCAGGGGGTCTGGATCAGTCCTATGCTGGCCTCTCACCCATCAGTCTGGGGTCCTGAAGCTCCCCCTTGTTCAGGTCAGCTGTTTCTGTGGGTTTCTCCAGCCTGGTCTTGACCCCTTTGCTCATCACTCCTCCCTCTCTGCAACTGGATTCCAGGAGTTTGGCTCAGGGTTAAGCTGTGGTTGTCCTCTTCTGCTTCCATCAGATACTGGATGAAGGCTGTAGGATATCATAAGGTAGTCATCAATCTCATCATCGGGGAAGGGCATTTAAGGTAGCCTCTCCAATATTACTTAGAATCTTAGGTGGGATCATCCTTGTAGATCTCTGGACATTTCCCTAGTGGCAGATTTCTCTTTAAACCTATAATGGCTCCCTTTATTATGGTATCTCTTTTCTTACTGTCTTTATTCTTCCTCTGACTCAATCTTCCTGCTCCCTCATGACCTCCTCTCCCCTCCTCCTCGCCCCTTCTCTTTCTCCTAACTCCCGCTTCCTTTCCTCCATGCTTCCAATTATCTCAGGAGAACTTGTCCATTTCCCCTTCTCCAGGGGACCATGCATATCTCTCTTAGGGTCCTCTGTGTTTATCTAGCTTCTCTGGAGGCATGGATTTTAGGCTAGTAATCCTTTACTCTATGTCTAAAATCCATATGTGAGTGAGTTCATACTATATTTGTCTTTTTGTGACTGGGTTACCTCACTCAGGATAGTTACTTTATCCATTCTTCCATTGAGGGGAATCTAGGTTCTTCACATCCTCTCCAGCATAAACTGTCATTGGTGTTTTTGATTTTAGCCATTTTGATAGGAGCAAGATGGTATCTCAGAGTTGTTTTGATTTGCATTTCCCTGATGGCAAAACATGTTGAATAATTTCTTAAGTGTCTTAGCCATTTTAGATTCCTCTATTGAGAATTCTCTTTTAGTTCTGTACCCCATTTTTTTAATTGGATTATTCAGTGTTTTGGAGATTAGCTTCTTGAGTTCTTTGTATATTTTGGAAATCAACCCTCTGTCAGATGTGGGGTTGGTGAATATCTTTCCCATTCTGTGGGCTGCCGTTTTGTCTTGTTGACCATGTCCTTTGTCCTACAGAAGCTTCTCTGTTTTAGGAGATCCCATTTATTGTCAATCTCAGTGTGTGCACTACTAGTATTATTTTCAGGAAGTGGTCTCTTATACCAATTCATTCAAGGGTACCTCCTACTTTCTCTTCTAAGAGGTTCAGTGTGGCTATATTTGTGTTGAGGTCTTTGATCCATTTGGAATTAAGTTTGGAATCAGGGATGATGATGCCTCCAGAAGTTCTGTATTGTACAGGGTTGTTTTGGCTATCCTGGGTCTTTTGTTTTTCCATGTAAAGTTGAGTATTGTTCTTTCTAAGTTTGTACAGAACTGTGCTGGGATTTTGATGGGGATTGCATTGAATCTATAGATTGCTTCTGGCAAGATTGCCATTTTCACTATGTTTACCTATCCAAGAGCAAGGGAATTTTTCCACTTTCTGGTATCTTCTTTAATTTCTTTACTGTAGAGTGGATAAAGAAAATGTGGTACATTTACACAATGGAGTACTACTCAGCAGAAAAAAATAATAGAATGTTGAAATTTGTAGTCAAATGCATCGCACTACAAGAAACCATCCTGAGTGCGGTAACCCAGTAACAAAAGGACAAAAATAGTATGTACTCACTCATTTATGGATTTTAGACATGGAGCAGGGGATTGTCAGCCTACAATCCCACCACCAGAGAGTTTGGGAAACAGGGAGGACCCTAAGAGAGTCATGCATGGTACCCTAAAGAAGGGGAATGTTACAGGATCTCCTGAGCAAATTGGGAGCATGGGGGAGGGGAGAGGGAGCTGGGAGAAAGAGAAGGGGGGAAGAGGAGGGGAGAGGAGGACATGGGAGACCAGGAGGGTTGAGTCAGGGGAAGAATAGAGGAGAGCAAGATAAGAGACATTATAATAGAGGGAGCCATTATAGTTTTAAAGAGAAATCTGCCACTAGGAATGTAAGCAATAGTGGAGAAGCTACAATAAAAGCACCTCCCATATATTGTGATTGATGACTACCTTATATGCCACCCTAGATCCTTCATCCAGTGGCTGATGGAAGCAGAGGCAGGTACCCACTGCTAAACACTGAACTGAACTCCTGGAACCCAGTTGCAGAGAGGGAGGAGTGATGAGCAAAGGGGTCAAGACCAGGCTGGTGAAACCTACAGAAATAAACAGCTGACCTGAACAAGGGGGAGCTTCAGGACCCCAGACTGATGGGTGAGAGGCCAGCATAGGACTGATCTAAATCCCCTGAATGTGGGTGTCAGTGAGGTGGCCTTGGAAATCTATGGGGCCTCAGGTAGTAGATTGGTATTTATCCCTGGCACATGAATGGACTTTGGGAGCCCATTCCACATGGAGGGAAGATCTCTCAGTCTGGACACATGGGAGAGGCCCTTCTTGGGATATGACAGACTTTGAAGATCCCCCATGGATGGCCTCACCCTCCTTAGGGAACAGAGGGAGATGGGGTGGGGGCTTGGGTGGGTTGGTGAGGGGCGGGAGAGGAGGGAGCTGGAATTGACATCTGAAGCAAGCTTGTTACTAATTAAAAAATATTTGGGTGGTTTGAGAAAGGGTTCCTCTGTATTGCTTTGGAGGTTGTCCTGGAACTCGCTCAGTAGACTAGGCTGGCCTCTAACTCACAGAAATCCACCTGCCTCTGCCTCCTGACTGCTGGGATTAAAGGCGTGTGCCGCCAACACTCAGCTTAAACATTCTTTCAGAGTGTCCCATAAGTTTGGGTATGTTGTGTCTCCATTCTCACTGAATTCTAGGAAGTCTTTAATTTCTTTTTTTATTTCTTCCTTGACCCAGGCATGGTGCAATTGCGCATTATTCAATTTCCATGAGTTTGTAGGGTTTTTGCAATTTGTGTTGTTGTTGAATTTTAACTTTTAAGCATGGTGGTCTGGTGAGATACAGGGGGTTATTCCATTTTTTTTTGTACTTCTTGAGATTTGCTATATTGCCTAGTATGTGGTCGATTTTAGAGAAGGTTCCGTGTGGTGCTGAGAGGAAGTTACATTCTTTTGTGTTTGGATGGACTGTTCTATCGATGTCTGTTAAACCCAATTGGGTCATAACGTCTATTAGTTCCTTTGTTTCTTTGTTACGTTTCTGTCTGGTGCTTCTGTCTAGTGGTGGGAGTGGGGTGTTGAAGTTTCCCTCTATAAGTATGTGAGGTTTTATGTTGGATTTGAATTTTAGTAATATTTCTTTTATGAATGTGGATGCCTTTGTATTGGGGGCATAGATGTTCAGAACTGAGACCTCATCTTGGATTTCTCCTGTGATGAATATGAAATGTCCTCCTCCATCTCTTTTGATTGATTTTAGTTTAAAGTCTAATATGTTAGATATAGGATTGCTACACCCACTTGTTTCTTGTGTCCATTTGATTAGAAAATCTTTTCCCAACCCTTAACTATGAGGTACCATCTGTCTTTGAGTTAATGTATTTCTTGTATGCAGCAGAAGAATGGATTCTGTCTTTGTATCCATTCTGTTAGCCTGTGTTTTTTTTATAGGAATGTTAAGACCATTAACATTGAGGGATATTAATGACCATTGATTGTTCATTCTTGTTTGTTTTGGATTTGTTGTTTTTGTTGTTGGTATTGTGTATGGATTTCCACCCCTTTTTTTCTTTTGGCTGTTGGTATAGTAGGATTATCTATTGTGTATGTTTTTGTTGGTGTAGTTAACTTCCTTGGGTTGGAGTTTTCCTTCCAGAACTTTCTGTAGGGCTGGATTAGTGGATATATATTGTTGAAATCTGGTTTTGTCATCATGGAATATCTTGTTTTCTCCATCTCTAGTGATTGAATACTTTGCTGGGTATAGTAGTATATCTGTGGTCTCTTAATGTTGGTATGATATCTATCCAGGACCTTCTGGCTTTTAGTTTCCATGGAGAAGTCAGGTGTAATTCTGATAGTTTTGCCTTCATATATTACTTGGATTTTCCCCTTTGCTGCTCTTAATATTCTTTCTTTATTCTGTATTTTTGGGGTTTTGATTACTATGTGGTGAGGGGGCTTCTTTGTGGTCCACTCTATTTGGTGTTCTGTAAGCTTCTTGTACTTTCATTGGCTTGTTTTTCTTTAGGTTGGGAAAGTTTTCTTTTATGATTTTGTCAAATATGTTTTCTGCACCTTAAAGTTGGGTTTCTTCACCTTCTTCTATACCTATTATTCTCAGGTCTGGTCTTTTCACGGTGTCCCATATTTCCTGGATATTTTGTGTTAAGGATTTGTTGGACTTAAGATTTTCTTTGGTCAGTGAATCTATTTCTCCTAGTGTATCTTCAGTATCAGAATCTTCAGACTCTCTCTTCCATCTCTTGTATTCTGTTGGTTATACTTGCATCTGTAGTTCCTGGTCATTTACCCAGCTTTTCTATTTCCAGCATTCCCTCAGTTTGTGTTTTCTTTATTGTCTCTATTTCAATTTTCAGGTCTTGAAAAGTTTGAATTGTTTCCTTTGTCTGTTTGATTGCTTTTTCTTTTCTTTCTTTAGAGATTTGGTGATTTCTTATATTTCTTGGTCTGTTTTTTTCTTCCATTTCTTTAAGAGATTATCTTAATCCTCTTTGAGGGCCTCTATCATTTTCATGAAGTTGTTTTTAAGGTCATTCTCTTCTGCTTCATCTGCAGTGATATGTTCAGGTGTTGCTGGTATAGACTCCCTAGATTCTGGTTGTGTAATATTGGTTTTTCTGTTATTGAATGTGTTTTTATATTGTCTTCTTCCCAACCCTTCTTCCAGTGGGTGCAGGTGGAGTTTCTTCCTCTCCTGGTGAAAATGGGTTCAAGGTTCCCTTCTGGTGAGTACAAGCAAATACTCTGATGGTTCTTCTCTTCCTGGTGGTGGAGGTGGGACTAGTACCAGGACATTGGCAGACCCTCAATAGGTTGTTCTGCTGGGATGGGTTCCCCATGTGCAGGCCCCAAGTCTCAGGTGGCTCTGAGTGCACCAGAAACAGGCCCATGCTTTTGACAGACTTTTTTGAGAAGCAGGGAATTTTGAAGGACTTTTCTTGGTAAGGGTTGACAGTCACCTTTTTTATTTGCATCCTGCTCATCCAGTTTGGAGATTAACTGTCAGTAATTGAGGCGAAGACAGTTTCTTTGCCCATATGGATAACTTTTGCCACAAAGAAAACAAACTCCATATGGAGTTTCTTTGATGCCCACCATCTTCCTTTGAAGTTGTTTGGTATTACCTGAAGCAGATGTGTCTCACTGTCAAAACAAGACTAAATTATTAAACATTATTAATACTATATTCTGTAGATCTTTGAAATGTTTGAAGATTACCTATTCATCTGACACATATCTCTGTATACTTAGAACACTTAACTAACACGACTGTATGTTTGATTATTATAGATGACTAAATATTAACTCATACTTCTTAATTCAGCTGCATAAACATAATATCTTAAACAAGAGCAGAAATATACATACAGTATAACCAAATTAATTTTAAATTTGTTTCAATAGAGTAAAATCTACACCAATGTAAAATAGTTTGAGATTGACAGTTGTTTTTTAGATTAAAGTAGATTCAATAATCTATCTCTCTCTACCATTTCTATATCATATCCTCTTTTCATCTTTTAGAAAGAGATCTCTGAATTTAATTTTTTGTTAGTCTTTTCTTGACTATGACCAATAACAGTATGTAAGCAACCCCCTTATATGAAAACAAACATTTATAATCAATATTTTGGGAATGTGAGCATAGTTTTCTAAACTACTTTCTGCTGATTGGGAGCACTAGTAATCTTTGGGGGATCCTGAGAAAATCACAATAATTATAAATAATATAATACATATCATATATAGTACTATCTCTGGGGTAAAGCCAACTTGGTCATAATGAACACCATGGGTAGGGGCTCAGTAAAACATTTTTGAATGAATGATAGAGAAGTGCCCTGTAAGTTACCATGATGAGGATTAGCTAGCCTTTGGCTCTTTACCCAACATTTACCTTACAACTGCTTAATGTATATCTTACAAGATAAACATCCTCCTGCTACCAGAAATTTGCAAAGCTGGCCTCTGATGCAGAGGTAGTGCCAATGGGAATGGGAACATGAAGGTTTTGAAGTATTTGGGAGACCCTAAGAGAATTCACTTATTACAAAAACAATACACATTTACTACGTATTTAAAAATAATAAGACCATGTAAAGTATGGGGCAGAAAGTTGTGGTGACTTTATTTTCATTTTATTTATTTATTTTTAAATTATGTTTTATTTTAGAGGAACTCATATTTACATATCCTCCCCCCATTCCCTCGCCCTCTCATCCTCCTATGTTCCCCACCAATCTCCCAATCCATCCCACAACTCCTCCCCAGGGATAGTGAGGCCCTCCACGGGGGACCTTCAAAGTCCCCCATTTGGGGGAGGGCCTAGGCCTTCCTTGCTGTATCTGGGCTGCAATAGAATCCCTCCATAGAGAATGGGCTCCTAAAGTCCATTTGTGTTCTAGGGATAAAGACTGGCTCCACTGTAAGAGGTCCCATAGACTGTCTTGGCCTCCTAAGTCATGGTGACTTAACATTCACTATTGAAATTATTGTGACAGAAATATACATGGGGAAGAATTCAGATGTCATGGAACTCTATCAGTGGGTGAAAGGTTACTTTCTCTAATTTTAAGTCTGTTCTCTTGAGAAATTGCTGTTACTTGCTTGGAATGAATTTTAGGCTTTCCATTAGAATGTATGTTCACTAAATGCACCATTTTAATGGCTGGTTACTAGCCCACTTTAGAAATATGCCATACTTCATTTATGCTATCCTTACTCATGGACATTTGAATAAGTTTTTGTTCAGATGTTCCTTTATTTTATATACTTTTTGTAGTCTTTCATGTACTTCTGTGTATAAATGTTAGGAGTAGAAATGTTAGTTTATTTAGGACAAAAGTAGGGATAATCACTTAATCAACTTGTGGGTCGAGACCCTTGTTTGTGTTGAACAACCCTTTCACAGGACCATCAAAAAGCACACACATTTTTCAATCATGATGGATAACAGTAGCAAAATTCCAGTTGTGAAGTATCAACAGAATAATTTTATGATTGGGGGTCACCCAATCACGATGAGCTGTATTAAAGGGCATTGGCTTTAAGAGGGTGAGAACCACTGCTAAATTAAAGGGTCATAGCATTAGGAAGGCTGGGCATCACTGATTTTTAAAGCAAAAGGCAGAGCCCTCAACTTCTGACCATTTTTGGAGAATTTCCCTGTTCTTTTTAGTGGCTGCAATAAAGAATGAAAATGAGTTGTTCACACAATTCACTGTGTTCTGAAAGGCAGATAGATGTTTGGGCAGAGCCAGTGGAATAAGCACCAAAGAGAAGCAGAGGTCAGTTCAGGTAAGAGCAGGCTGTGATAAAGACCTGGCCACCTCCATATCTATCTGGAACATCAGATGTTGTTTTCTGGAAAGGGCATGGACCAAGTGCCAAAGGGTGGGAGAATTTGGATAAGTACCAGTCTGGTACACATACTCTTGAAAGACTAGGGATCACTAGGCTTTCTTGCACGTTCGGGCATTCTGGAAAGTGTGAAAGTACAAGAACAAAGATGGAAGTTTTATCAGATGAGTCCCCTGGCCCCCAAAGGAGACATATGACCCTGTGCAAGTATGATACTATATGCTTTTTGCACAAGATAATGTTTAAAACTGAAGTATTGTCATGCCCACTTAGCAGATGAGGAACCAGAAGAAGAGAAAAGTAATTTGTATGGTTTCATAGCTAGGGAATGGGGAATCTAGATACCCACACTGGGCACATGGATGGCACCAGATAGGCCTGAGCAGGCTACTGAGACATTCTGATTAGGAGATGATATTAGAATGTAGATTTTGACAGGGTGAAGGCTTTGGGGTACAACCACAGCTATCTCCTCACAGAAGAATAGGTGTTGGGGGTTTCTGTGCCCAGATCATGGGCATCTGGAAAGGTTCTGGTTAGGGGCACAGAACCACACAGGTAGTTGACTAATGGTCTGGGCTCCTTTTTAATCAAAAGAAAGAGGGCTTTCCCTTTTAGTTGATCTGACTTCGTTTCTTCTGCTCAGAACCTAAAGGACGTAATTCCTGAAGGGCTTGTGGCCCGATCAGCACTTTCTGTGGGACTTACTGGGCACTTACTGTGTTTGTGGTCCCAGGATAACCCATTGCCTTTTGTATGTTTCAGCTCCATTGTGAATTTCCTCCAAGTCTTGGATATGACATAACACTCTGAGATATTTTACTTGATGCTTACAATTCCAAAAGGAGGGGCAGTTCCTAATGAGGAGATGATGATATCATGATGATTTTTGCAATGAGAGTGCTTCTCTCTTCCATTCCTTCTGTGATGGGGGTAGCTGTGTTGGGATCAGAATTACCAAATATCCATTCCAAAGAATATTGGAACACAGCTAACCTGCCCAATTGCCACTTTGCTGATCTTTAGAGGAACAACACTATCATACAGTCTTTTAATTTGACCATTTATTCATTAGTTTCATAAGGGTTTATTAACTAAGAACAAGGCTTTTTGATAAATGCTGCAGACACAGGAATGGGACTTACTGTTTCCAGCTTTAAACACGCACAAATCATATCAAGGCTGTGAGTCAACCAGTGAGATGACTTGGCAATCTACAGTACCAAGCAATGTTTCTGGTTTTCAGCCCCCGAGTACTGAGGTAAAAGAGACAAGCATTTGCATAATTGTAGAAAGTCCCTAGGTTCAATCAAAGCCATGAGCTCACAGTTTGGTTGCTTAAAATTGTCATTCCCTTTCTTTATGACCTTCAAGGAAAGAAGAAGCCATTGCCCCCAGTCTTCTTATCATGTTATGGTGGTAGCATAATTTCCGAAAACATGCTTTCAGTAGACATCTTATACCCTGTGTCCACAGGAAACATTTGAGTCTCAGCTTCCTCTACTAGCTCCCTTTTGATTGACAAATGTTCTACCTGTCATTAATGATGGAATGTGTGCTTGTCTTCAATAACTAAGAGAGAAACTCAGTCTCAAATTTTTAGGTGGCCCTAGACCTTGGGAGAAAACTAGGAAACAATGGACAATCAAGAGTACTGAGGACCTTAGACAAGTAGAGTCTTTCTAATATTAACACAAGTAGAACTCACTACTTGTAGACCCCAGCTACTGCCAACACAGCTACACATCCTAAATCCCCCTGCTTCTTCACAGGGTACAGACTTGTCATCTCAGGTTGAAGCTGCCAACTGACCAAATCTAGGCCTGGTAGTCAAATTTTAGGTTACAGGGAGACAAGAGAACATGTGAATCAACTCTCATCAGGACACACATAGTTTCTTCAGCACAGTCAAGGGTCCTGATAAAGCCCGAATGACAATGTCCTTTATAAAATAGGGTAACATGTGTATCTCAGAAAGGCAGTTTGGATGACACGTTCTAAGGATATAAAGGGTGGAGACTGACTAAAATCCCTGTAGAACCCAGTAAGATAGAGTTTAATGATTTACTGGATGTAAGGAGGGTTTGAAGGGGTGGGGAGAAGGACTGGAATGAGAGTAGGGAAGGAGAAACTGGGAGGAGATGAGACAGACTGTTTCTGAGCTCCTAGGGTAGGCAGTCTGGAGGAAGAGGGTGTGGTACAGTTTGACGGAACACTGGAGATACTTTTGACTCAGGATGTGAGACTTTCCCAACTTGTGTTTCAGTTTCCCCTTTTATAAGAAGGGGGAGTCCTACTTTTTTTGTTGTTGTTGTCTCAAAAAGTCAGGTGGAGGGCATGTGAAGGCTGAAGCATTGGCATGATGCCAGGCATTGCAATGGGCTTCGTAGTTGTTGTTGTTAGTTATTTGAAGTGCTCCTCAAATCTCTTCAAGTTTATTAGTCAAGGCTCCATAGTTGAGAAATATAAATCAGTTTGACTATAGTTACAGCTACTCATAACAGGTGGGGCAGTGAGGCCCTTAGTTGAAAACAATGTTCCGGGCACACTAATTAGAAATCAAGAAAATGTTTTTATTTTTGCAGATCTGGCTAAGGTGATGTTTTCACTATGTTCCATTTTTACTTTCAGAAACCACCAAATCATAAGTCACTTATACCAGGGAATGACACAGCATTAAGAAGCTCCCACACTCTCATGAGGGCGTCAACCTGGCTTCTTACATAACAAGGACTTTGGCACCTCACCCAGGACTTGGTTGCTTGCCAGTCCTCCATTCCGCAGAAAAAGGCATCAAGATTATGTGGACAGTTGGGTGTGATCCAAGATTAGGGCATGGGACAATATGAAGGCCACACAGCAGGAGGGAGGGCAAATCTTCTGCCTTAGGGAGACCCTGGGAAATTCAAGTTTACATGCAAGTGAATAAGCAAATGCTTGAGATTGCTGGCATTTCCAATTCCATAAGAACATGCTTGAGGGCTACCCTCGTCTAGACCTGTCTTGGATTCTGTGCAACTACAGGGAGCTTGTATCTTCTAGAGTTCTCCGAAGGGTCCTCAGCTCTCTACTAGCCATAAAAAGTGGAGCTGCTCTCAAGAGCCTTTCCTGATGCCCCTGAGGGAAACTGCATGGAGCACTTTAACCTATGAAAAACAGTTTGCATAAGAGAGAGTCTAAAATTTCCTAAGGGGAGATGGACTCAGAGCCAAAAGAGATTAAGATCAACTTTCCATCTGGAGAATCGATGGCCTTGGGTGCCAGCAATGCAGAAACCAGCTAAGTATTTATTAAAGTCCAGCACAAATATTCTGTCCACTTTTTATTCTGCTTTGTTGCATTGAGCACAGGATTCTCATTCACAGAGTCTGGACACGTTTGTAGCACCTGCGGTCACTCTACCTTGCTCCAGTGAAACTAAACTCTTGTGTGTGTCTTAACATTGTGTCACTTTTATGTTATGGAAAATAAGTATTCCAGGAGAATGCTGTTTCTTATATTGCATTGGAAAAGGTGGCTGAATTAATAACACATAATTGAAAACAAACCCATTTTATAAGCATTTGCTCTCCTAGTGCCACTGGGAGAATAGATTTTGACCTTAGTCTTGCAGATAGTTGTTATTGATGTCAGGTATTGTCCTTGGCATTTTCAACACAGTATCAGAATTTCAACAGCAACCCTTCCAAGTGCATGCTATTGCTCCAGAACAGGGATGAGGAAACCTGGGTCAGGGAGGTGATTTGGGCTAGGAAAGGAGGTACAGGGGCCTGGTGGAGCCTACTTGCTATCTCAATCACCAACTCTTTGCTGTTTGTTGGCACTAGGCTGCCTTTCCCTACACAAAGGGGAGAATCCTGTACTGGGGTTTCTTCTGATTTAAGTAATTCAGATAAGATCCAAACCTTCATTAGAAATTTCACTGAGCTTTTTGCCAAATGGCAAGCAATTCTGAAGTGAAATTATACTTTCATGTGAGGGTCAAAGTCTCATAGTTTAGCCTGGCAAGACTATTCAGTGGGTAAAGGTTCTGGTTGCACAAGCCAGATGCTCGGAGTCCAACCCTAGAGACTCACAGAAGAGGAGAGAACTGCATTCCCAATGCTGCCTCCTCTATGGGCACCAATATTAAAGAAAATAAAAAACTCAAAAATCTCATGTTTTTATTTCTTTCCCTGTCTTGGTTTTGTACAACTAATTAGAATGTATCAGGTATGGTTTCCCTTGCCATTTGCTGGCAGACCTTACAAAATGTTGTTGAGAGCAGAACCCAGTCCACACAGGCCTTGTCCTGAGGGTCGAGCAGGGAGATACTCAGTTAAGTAGAAGGTGGCTTTCTTTGGGGGAATTGCCAGCAGTGAAACAGTTTCTATCCTTCTTTTTTGTGCAGAAGAGATGGGTTACCAATGAAGCAGCCCCTGCCTACTTCCCACCCCAGCCCATCAAGAGGAGAGTTTAGGGAGGGAGCAAGCATTTCCCATGCTTATTTCTGAGCTCCCTGTATCAAGAATGGTCCACACACTTCCAAAGCAGTATATTGCCAGTGTTCTCCAGAGCAGGTGTTCTGCAGATGTCAGTGGTGGTCAACAACAGAATGGTCCCATATGCAAGCAGCTTCGGTACTTCTATGGTACTGACACAGATCTCATTCTACTTGATGGGCACATCTATTCCATTGCTCTCTCAGTAGATTCAACCACGGAATTATTTTAGGGAAAACTATGCTGTCAGAATCTGGGAAGTGCTTCCTTAAATCTTACTTCATCACCTTCTTCTTGCCTTTGATTCCCTCATCTTTGTGCCTTTGACATTATCAGTCATTTTCATGTTCATCTATCCTATGCTATTAAGTCTCTACTGGTATAGGGCAGTGTAATATCCCTGGTAGGTAGTCATAGCATATTTGGGATGTGGTGCCATTTATAATTTAGAGTCTAGCTTGGAAGGTAAAAAAGACACACATAGACAGTAAAAAAAAAAAAAAAAAAGCACGCTGTCTGCAAAAGAAAACTGGAATTAGATTCTGAGAGTTGAAACTAAAACAAAAAATGAAGGTTGTTTACTTTCTACATTTCATCAAGGAGCCAAATTGGCATTGAGAGTGAAGGCATCTTGTGGATCAGGTTTCTGGGCAGAGCTTCCATCTGCACAGCTGCCCATGACCTGCCATCTCTTTTGCACATCTGAGCCCATTGCCACATCACCTTGTGGTTCCAGGAGTTTCTGAGGGCAGCCTCTGCAGGTAGTGGAGGAGGAGTGGGGTGGACTCACTCCAAATACTTAGTCTTAACTGGCAAAGGCTTTGCAGAAAAGTGGAGGGCAGACTGGTGGCACATCCACCCATTGGCCTCTTACCTGACTTGGACACGAGCTTCCCTGGCTGAGGCACCCTCTTCTTGGAGTTGGTTTCTAGCTTCTGGCTATTGACTATACAAATAAACAAAAGGCTGAGCTGTTCCATCCCAGGCACAGCCTTAAGAGGAAGCAAAATCAGCCACCAAGGCCAGGGTGAGAAGTGATCTCATCCTCAAATAAATGTGTCAGTGTGACCTGCGAGGCCGAGAAGACACTTAGAGGGAGAGCCTCTTCTCAATTGGACACCACACTGTTTTCTCTATGGCTTTGACTAGTTGGATGAGGCTCTCCCGCATTATGCAAGATCATCTGGTTAGTCTTTTAAAAATACCTTCACAGAAACTCCCAGGCTAGTGTTTGACTGAAGCCTAGCTAAGCCAATCACATAATTGGTCACTTATGTATATTAGTCCTCTCTCACCTAGAGAGGATAGATCTCAAGAACCCTGAAATTATGGATAGTATCAAATCTTATACATATTGTACCCCCTGTAGTATAGCTAGCTTTTAAGTTTCACATAAATAGGAGATTAACATGATAACTCAATAATAAAATAGAGCATTTTATAAATACATGCTACAATAAAAGTTATAGGAATGTGCTTTCTCTATCAACTGCTACAGAGTAGGTAGCATATAAGGTGGTACACCCAAAAGAAATGACTTACACCCAGGCAGGATGGGGCAGGACAATGTAAGATTTGATCACACTGCTTAAAACAACATGGAACTTCAAACTTTTAAGTTAGTCATGGGCTTGTCCACTAGTATCTCTGGACCAAGGTTAACTAGAAAGAGTATGGAAGTGCTGTAAGGTATGTGTGTGTGTATTGGGTAGAGAAAGAAAATGTATTTCTCATATTGGATTGTAGCAAGGAAGATTTAAGGCTTCTATGTGTTCACAAATTCACTCTTAATCCTGCTACTGCTCCCCTAAATGTGCGCTTGCCCTTCTCACAGGTGCTGTTTCCCCACTGCTGGTAAAGGCAGCTTCTGGGTCACCTCAGACAAGCTTGCTGCTGATGTGGCTCTAGGCAGCCTTGCTCTGTTCCTTCTTTCACAGGTGCACATGGCTTCCCAGCCTTTGTGGTTGTGGAATCACTTTCCTCTACAAGGAAGTCCTTTTCTAGGTTTCTGCAGGGCTGACTCCTTCTCTGCCCTACTGCTCCTATTCCTGATCAAAGAGGCCTTCTTTGCTGGCTCCTGTAGACTAACCCTGGTCCAGTCCTCACATGCAACCTATACCCATGGATTTGTGGATTGCCCAATATCTTACCACACAGTGCCATTTTCTCTATTGTACTCATCACAATGTGAAATTAGTCACAAATCTCTATTTTTCATCTTTCTTGAACAAAGGTAAATACCATGCCTTTCCTATTCCTGCTCAGCTTTGTCTATTTGGTGCCAGAATAGCACCAGTCAAGTGTAACGTTCCCAGAATCACTTATGGAATGAATCAATGGCTATAGAGTGGACCTTGTCCATGACTTAGCTGATAGAACATAACCATCCTTTGACTTTTAGAGTATACCCACGTATGAATATAGGTGGAAGAAAGAAGTAGATAACTGTCTGAAGTGTCTGCTTCCCTTGCTGACATATTTGGGCATGTGCCCAGGCAGCCAGATATGTTTGCCTTGCAAGTGGCACTAAGAAGCCGGCGCAGTACGTAGTGGTAGCTGCAACAGGCACTTCGGGGCTCATTGATGTGGAAAGTGGCTGTGAGGAGCAGAGGTGGTGGTGCAGGGAATGCGCTGGACTGACATGGTGGTGGCTTGACTCAGTTTTGGTTGTATTAACCCTTCCTGTCTGCACTCATGAATCACATGTCCCTGTGGCTGTGAGCAGCTGCTGATAACGCTGTCTGCGAACCTGCCAGAGCAGTTGCTGGTGCTGAAACTCACTTTTCCCCATTATCTTCTCCCTCCATCCTATTTTGTCTTTCCCCTTCATTACTTCAGCCCCTCAAAGTCATCTTCATGCATTTCTCTACCACCAAATCTTATACTCAGCTCTGGCAGGAAGCCAGTGTCTCAGATGAGTGATGGCCTCTATCGTATAGCTCTGCTCTCTCCTGTGAGTTGAGACACTTGGGGATGGTGGTATTGAGAACACTATGTGGTTTCAAATCAGTCACTAGAACTTCTTTAGCTCAGCACTCAGTGAATAGAATCATAAACCCTTTTGTTATTTGGGACTTTCTAGGGAGTCCATACTCCTGACAACACCACAGTGTACTTAGGTGTCCTCATCATTATGTAACTTATCTTTCAGTAAAGGACAATGTAAAGGGATAGAGAAATAGTAGAGGTCCCTCATGGCACACTATCAAAGACAGTATGTGTCTTCTGTATATGAGATAGCAATGTCTTTGTATACTTTGGCAAAGCTACCTTACCAAATTCCAAATCCCATTAAGCTTGGGCTTTCTCCACTTATTTCAGTTTAGGAAAGTTCTGAGACTGCTTTAACAGTTTCAGTAAGGCTATGCCAGCTTTGGGGATAGTCCTTTACTGGCTCACAGAATCTGCTTTCTGATGCTTAGGAACCTGTCACCATATAATAAATGGAACATACAGAGAGTATTTACCGAGAGAGGCTCAAGCCGCATGCATGTAGAAAGGCTCTAGAGAATGTGGTGCTATGAGTTCATGCTATGTTATTATAACAAAACACCCAAGGCTCAGTACTTCACAAAGAAAAGTCATGATGAAAACCAGAGTGGATGTCTTTAATAATATGTCTTTAACATATTATTGAGTTGTTGAATTAATTCACCTAAGATTCGACCTAACGCCAAGCTCCTTGGAATGATATATATGTGTGTGTGTGTGTGTGTGTGTGTGTGTGTGTGGCTTTTCTTTACTACAGCTGACAACATCTTGATATGTAATTAAAATAACATATTGCAAATGATAGCTTACACACTATAGGACAGCAAGCTACCTTTGTTTGGCTTTGGGGAGGCAAGATAGCATCAACTGTTAGAAAAGTGCAGCTCTAGGACTGTGACCTATACCTGAGGAGGCTCATATCAATTACAGATGCAGAGGAAAATCCCAGGATCACTTCAGCTTATCTCATTTGAAAATCTCAAGTTAGGGACTCAGGAACAAAACAGCTACTGTTATGAACCATTTCTTTAAGGCCTCATTAGCTAGTACGGAAACACAGAGTGTTTGGAAGACCTGAGAACCCTCAGGAGATTGCCATATTACCTGTGGAGAACACAAGCCTGTGAGCATTGGCAAATATGCAAGAGGATGAGGAAGGTCAGTCCCCATCTTTGCAGACTCTAGGTGTCTGCTTGATAAGAATATACCTTACCATATCTCATCCAGCAGAGAGTAAAGGAAATCTTTGCAAAGCATCTTCTCAGGGCAGAGAAAGCTGTCCTGCTCAGGCTGACTAATCCCGGACACTTGTCACATGCTACAGGCTTCCCAGACATGCATCAGTAATCTGGATTATGTCTCAGACACATACTGTCAGCAGCTCCTTTGATAACTCCAAGAATGATAAAGAAAAAAAAAACAACAAAAACTCTCCACACTTAGAACAGAGTGAATTTTAATTCATTTGCCACAAGATAAATGTGTTACAGGTATATTTTGAACCATGTCATTTATTTTTTGGAATAAGGAAACATGCATTTTCAAATCTGTGTATAACAGCTTAATATACAGAAAAGGCTAAAATGGAAGATGAGCTCATTATCACTCACAGAAAGGCAATTTGATGTACTAGGGACCCTTAGGGGATTTAGTC